CTTTAATAGACCAAAAGCAGTCGAACCAAGCAATAAACCAGATCAGTTTTCAAGCTTTTCTGGCATATATTTATTTAAGGTTCAATTTTCTAATATTTTTATGGATTTAATTTTATTATTTTTTATAAAACAAATATTATAACAATATAATGATAGGAGTAAGACAAAGATAAATACCAAAAAATGACAAAATTTATAAAAAAAAATACAAAACCCAAATACATATAGCATAAAACCAATGAAAAAAATCATCCATTAATTTACATATAGCATATAATGATAGGAGGACTCCTTTATTAGATTTAAACGAGAATTTGGCTTTTAATAGGACACAATGGAGAAAAAGGATTCATGTAGCCGACCCCAAGTAGTGGGATAAAGGCTTGATGTTGTTGTTGTTGTTGTTGTATAGAAGTCTGATCAAAGGTGACGATGAATGATATGTAGTGGATGCTAGACCATCTCATAATCAGCAGTCACTTGATCTCAGTCAAAAGGCATTGATTCCTTACATCCAGAAAGATTCGATATGCAATGGAAACAACAAACTGTTAGTACGAGGTAGCAGTCATGAGTTTCAAGAAGAACCTCCCCGATGAATGAGAAAAGGGGAGTCAACATCAAGATAAGGAGATGCCTCATGACATCTAGATAAATCGCCACTGGATCCACAACATTCATACAAGCGAACAAAAGGTGTTTACAAATATTCAAAGTACCCCCACACATGCATCGTAATTTGTGTACACATATGTACACTAAAAGGGGGTATGCAACCCAAACATCTGCATGAGCCCCGACGAGGGTGTTATTGGTACACATGTGACATTTAGGGATGCTGCGCGGATCAATAAATTTGAACCCGATCCTTCTAAGCAGGTAGATAGGAGTCAACAAGATTCTACAAATAATTATTAAATGCCCCCAAACACCCGCATGGGCCTTGACAAGCGTGTTATTGGCACACACACGTGACATCTAGGGATGCTGCGTGGGTCAATAAGTGAATTCAAGTTCATACCCGATCCTTCTATGCGGATAAATAGGAGTCGATAGTGTTCGAACTATCCAACAAATATACGAAGGTGGCAATGGATATATTTATCTTAATACATTCATAACAATATGAATTCACTAATAAATGTATGAAACCTGATCCCCTATCGGCAAATTGATAGGGTCGACATAGTTTAATCAAATGGAAATGACCCTAAAACGCCCTGATGATGGCCGTGTTGAATGAAAATCTCAACCGGAGGGATCCATTTCCAGTATTTCAAAATGCCACCCATAAAGTCCATAATCCAAAAAAATCCAAATTTCACCCAAATTATCCAGATCTAGATATTTAAAATTAAAAATCAACCATCCAAACACTTAAAGCAAATCCATCCACTCTCCGCAATAGTTTGTCGAGATGGACAAATTGAAATTTACTTAAGCTCACATAGAGCTAAATGCCTAGTCAAAAATATCACTAGGATCCATTCTCAAATAATCTCCTGTTAGTAAGGACGTGATACGTATTCTCTAACTGGTAATTTTGCCGCCAAATGGCACCGCAGGATAAACGGTTATGACCCGGGGCCCTCTGAATCGAGTGGTTTTGCCGCCAAATGGCACCACGAAATACCGATTATGGCTACAGTCAATAAGTTTCTTATTGGCATCAAATCCTTGAGATATAAATCATTAGAATATGATCGATAGGGTACAAAGCCTTCTGTTAGCTAAGGTGGATTCAAATTTGTCTCCTTAGGCAAATATCCAACCTAGGTCAACAAGGTCCCCTTGGATGAAGCAATCCATGACTGCCGACAAGGATCCTTTTGTCAGGTTGGGTCGACTACATCCTCTGACTAAGTAGACCAGGGTCCATGATGGCCGGGACGACGGAACCATGGGATCTGGATCGGATCCATCATCCATTCCCCCACCATTCACTTTAAGTGAAAGATGGTGAAATTTCTATTTTAAATGTCAATTTTTCAAATCTCCAAACTCTTAAAATACCTATATCCGTGCTGCTACTATATGCCAGATAACATGTATATTCTACATATCTGATTGACGACTAGCCTTAATCGAAAGTTCTCTCTCGTTATCGGGAGGGGTAATTAACTATAGGGGCTTGCGCCTATAGGAAATCAGAACTCAGATCATAAAGTCCTCACAAAATGAGGGCAAAATCTCTGGGCAGTGTATTATCTACAAATTCATTTGCCTTCCAAAATTTATCCCGGAACTTATTCCGTTAAAATTCCCTCGCTGAAGAAAAAGCAATCAACGCGGGCAGAGGCCGGGGCCGAATTTTCGGAGCCCACATAATTATGGGTATCATTATACTCTAAACCCTTGGACAAGCCAATATGTTTAATTACCGTTTCTTGCTTTATGAATCGACCATTTAGGCTAATTTAGCCAATTTGACCATATAAGCTAAATTGAGTTCAATAAATTATTGAAAATTATTTAATCAATTTTTTCTAAGCCCGTAACTTAGAAATATATGAAAAAAAATCAAATCTAAAGAAATTTTCAAAAAAAAAATCTAAATATAAAAACTTCAAATTAATTTTAAAAAAAAATCCAATAGATGAAATCTTAAAGTGATTGAAAATGTTAAAAAAGATGAAGGTTCACATTTAAATTGCCATAGAAATGAAGAAAATCAGTAGAGAAATTGCTTCGAACAAACAAGAATGTCAGATGGGGCCGAAAGGAAAAAAATGGAGTTTTAGGGGCTGTTTCGTGTGAAATGGGTGGCCGCCTTCAACTTATTTCGTTTCATGCTCTCAAGTTTATATCGTTGACAAATTCCGCTGAGTGTTATTATCAACTGGCACAATGAGCATCTTTTAACTGTTCTTTACCCGGGCACTTGTGACTATTATTGAATTTTATATTCCTTGCATATATGAACCACAACAAAAGAGAGCTTAAAGTACCTTCAGCCAGAGGTCATGTTACTTCACATTTATTCAGCTATTAGAATTTTGCATGGCTTTTTTCTCTACATTTTCCCATTTTATCCGCCTATGATTAATTTTCTCATGATCTTTGTCTACAGGACTTGGAGGCATGCATTTAGTATTATTTAGAGTTGAAGGAAGCAATAGGTTGCCCCCTACAACTCTCTCACCTGGTGATATGGTCTGTGTGAGAACATGCAATAGTAGGGGTGCTGGAGCGACTTCTTGCATGCAAGGCTTTGTTAATAATTTAGGTGAAGATGGATGCAGTATAACTGTGGCACTTGAATCTCGCCATGGAGATCCTACCTTCTCAAAGTTATTTGGAAAGAGTGTTCGTATAGACCGCATTCACGGTTTGGCTGATGCACTAACATATGAGGTAAAAAAAAAAAATAAAGACAAACAAAAAATTATCCATATGCCTTTAACCAGTAGCCAAAGTTTTTTAAGCTGAAACTTGGATGTTTACGATTGTTTGTATTTATAGCCTTGCACTCATGAAAAAAATGTTCTTTTTCCATCAGATGTTCTTTCTGTGTTGCTTTTTTTTTTTTAACTTTAATGAGCTTATTTGATCTGATGAGTTCTTTTCATTCAGTGTGCAAGAGTTTTGAATTAAAGAGCATTCGATTGAATTCTCAGCAATACTTGCGTCATGTGCATAGTTTAAAATTGCGCAATTGAGTGGTTCATCCAATTAATATGCTAATAATCTTTTCTTTTAATGAACAGGGAAGAGAAAAGTGAGTCATGTTGAAGATGAAGATGACATGGCATTCATAGATACAATTGGAGAAGAAGATTCACTTGAAGACTGATATTTTGTGATGGGATATGATTTCATTTTATATGTTTTTTGTATTTTGGGAGTTTTGTTAAACTGATATTTTGTGATTTTGTACTTTGGGACATAATTTTATTGCATCTACTTTCTTATTTTCCAATATTGCTATTATTTTCCTGCTAAAATCCTTAATTTTTCATTTACGCAATTCTGTGTTCGTGAGGCTTACGCCTCAGACCGCCTCGAGGCTTACGCCTCGCCTCACGGACGAAAAACGCCTCGAGGCGCAGTTACGCAATTTTAAACCTTGGTCATGTGAATGTCATTTAAGTGCAAAAATTGTGTTCGTGTGTTTATATATATATATAGACTATCAGCCTTTAGACTATCAACTTTCTAGAAGAATGAACGCCTTTCTCCTCATATATGTTCCACCCTTCATCTAAATTTTTGAATGGTTGAGGTGTAAAATTGCTAAAAGGTAGTTTTTTATTATTAATTTATAATATCAATGCTTCTAACTATTTTCTAGACAAGATTTCTATCCGTCCGAAAGGATGGTAGTCTATCCCCATTCATAGATAATATACTTCTTTTTCTCTTGGAGGCTTTTGATTGTCATATTGTTCTCTAGAAGAAAATCATCATGCTATTGTATCTATTTTGACGATTGAGTGCTAATTGAGTGATGTGCATCTCAATTCAAACTTGTTCATAATATTATGGTTGGAGAGATGCTGCGTCCAAAATGAAATTGAAGATGGCGTGTTAAACAAAGTTGAGAAGGGCAGCCAAGTCTAAAACATGCATCGGGAAAAATTTTTTAATTCACCATTATTTGAGTTATGACATTGTTTCATTTATAGGTATATAATTGGCTTCATTTAAGTGATTAACTTGTGTCTACTGTAGTTAGATGGTCAAGTTCAATACAACATAAATGAGAATGTTATGATGGTTATATGGCAAAATTAGGAAGAACATAACGAGAAATAATTATATTAGAATATTAGATAGAAAGTAGGAGTAGCCTCTATTAAGATCAAGGTTTAAAATTGCGTAAATAAGCCTTGGGGTGTATTTCGTTCGTGAGGCGAGGCGTAAGCCTCACGGACGAAGAATTACGTAAATGCGAATTTAAGTATTCTAGCAGGTAAATAACAGTAAAAGTCTATGATACAATTAAAACATCTAAATAAGAAGTGAACTTAGTGGAAAATAATAAAATAGATGCAATATATGTATCTTATAGCATAATTCGAAGTACAAAAATACAAATTGAAGTCTATCAGAACTTCCAAAGTACAAATAAAAAAGAACATCTAAAATTCAATCATGTCCCATCACTAAATGGGTCTTCAGTGGAGGCATCTTCATCTCCAATTGTATCTATGAATGTCAAATCTTCATCATCTTCAATCTTACCCACTCTTCTCTTCCCTGTTTAATAAGAATGATTAATGTGTTGTTAATTACATATATTTTAAATGTAATAGCACATAAGAAATTGTGAGATACCTTTGCTTGCTTGTTGTGCTGCAGTACTACTGGATGTGTGTGGTGTGGTACTAGTGGATGTGCTCGCTTGATCCCCTTCGCCCCTCAAGACTTCCACACTTAGATCCTCTAGCTGCAGGTCTGATAATGGTAAATCTGTTTCATCATCTATGAACCACTCATTATCAGACGTCACATCATCACTCATCAAAGGGTCCTCATCATCCTTCAACCCCTTGTTCCTCAATCTCTTGTTGTACATAATATACACAAGGGAGTTCATTATGAGTGTTGAAAGTCAATTTCTTCTCTTCATTTGGGGGGCTTTGCGGCTTCATGCACTTCGGGTCGGCCGAGGGACGCTTGGGAGAAATGAATGGGGTATTTGATTAGGCACTTAAGTGAGTGGGACCCATTTTGCTTGAGGCGTACACCTCTCATGTTATTGTGCAATTGCGCCTCTGAAGGCGCACCTCAGGTTCTATGAGACGTACGCCTCTCTTAGTCCCAGAATTGCTTAAGCAATAAGGCGCCTGGGGGTGAAATTGCGCAGAGGCGCACCTCTAATTGCACAATTTTAAACTATGATTAAGATACGCGGTAAAAACATTGTACAACGATCAACTACAGATATGCACTTGTAAAGCATCCAAGGAGAGCTATTTTAAAAGAATGGGAGGGAAATGACAGGTAAGATGCAACAAGGCTAAAATTGCACAAGAAGACTTGCACAATAGAGTTAACTCCTCATATATCATCATCATCATTATCATTTACTTTATCTCAGGTATTTTACCTTATCTCAGGTATTTGGGATAAGACTAAGGATGATGATTATGATTATTAGTTTAAAAGTTAGATAAAAGGAATTTCCTATGCTACAATAAGCTGTCTAATTTACTTTATGGTTCTATTAATATATGATTTTGTGTTAATACTTCGTTTAATTACTCATGAAACTTTCGTTGTTCTCTCAATATAAAATTATTTGGGTGAATTCTCCATTTAGTTCTGTAAGTCAGTATTGTACCCGAATGTTTATGATGATGCTCTGATTCCATGTGCATCCGATCTGGCAGCGCAATTGTGAAGCATTAATGCTTCTCCAGAAGAGTGGTTTACATAAAAAGAATCCTTCACTTGCAGTGGTGGCTACTCTATTTGGAGAAAAAGAAGATTTAGTTTGGCTGGAGGAGAACAAGATTGTTGAATGGAGTGAAGCAGATGTTGATGTTTTAATCAGGGAGGAGAGTTTTGATAATTCTCAAATAAGAGCTATTACATTAGGTTTGAACAAGAAGCGACCTCTCTTGGTAATACAAGGGCCTCCTGGTACTGGAAAGACGGGTCTGCTCACAAAACTGGTTAGTCTAGCAGTTAGACAAGGTGAACGTGTACTTGTGACCTCTCCTACAAATGCAGCTGTGGATAACATGGTGGAAAGGCTTTCAAACTTGGAGCTGAACATTGTACGAGTTGGAAATCCTGCTCGAATATCTGCGTCTGTTGCCTCAAAATCTTTGGGGCAGATTGTGAACGACAAGCTTGCAGTTTTTAAAAAGGAGTTTGAGAGGCGGAAGTCAGATCTAAGGAAGGATCTCAGGCATTGCTTAAAGAATGATTCTCTAGCAGCTGGAATACGTCAGCTTCTAAAACAGCTCGGGAAGACTTTGAAAAGGAAAGAAAGAGATACGATAAAGGAAGTGCTTTCAAGGTCTCAGGTTGTACTTTCTACTAATACAGGTTGTGGCGATCCTCTTATTAGACGATTGGACAGCTTTGATTTGGTTGTTATTGATGAAGCAGGGCAGGCTATTGAACCGTCCTGCTGGATTCCAATTTTGCAAGGAAAACGATGCATACTAGCTGGTGATCAATGCCAGCTTGCTCCAGTGGTTCTCTCTAAGAGTGCTATGGATGGTGGACTTGGCATTTCTCTACTGGAGAGAGCATCAGCTTTGCATGATGGTGTTCTGGTGACAAAACTAACCGTTCAATATCGAATGCATGAAGCAATTTGCAGTTGGGCATCAAAGGAGATGTATGGTGGAACGCTGGAGTCTTCTGCATCAGTTGCCTCACATCTTCTTGTTGATTCCCCATTTGTCAAGGTCCGTTTTAAGTTTAGTATCTTCTTTTTTTGAATCAACAGTGATATATTAACTACAAATGACATCTTAATTGCTACCACATGTTTGTTGAAAATGTGCTAACATTTTCATATTATGTTTGTCACACCTCATTTTGACCTCCTCATAGCCAATCTAGAGTGTGACAAAGAGGGAGACTATGAATAGAGATATATCTTACTAACACCCATCCTAACTTACTTCTATCAGGACCAATTGAATAGGAAATGGTCCATTCAAACTCTTTCAAATTTCAAGTTTCACAAAAGTTAAAACTGGAATTAATATTTTATAACTGGAATCATATTTAAACACATCTAAACTTATATAGTAAACAAGTAAAATACAGAACTTTAGTAAACATTTAAATAACATTTACATATCCAAAAGTGTTTGTACTACTTCTACTTTGACCTCTATGTAAACCAAAATGTATGTACACAAAAAGGGAAATCAATCATCCTATCTAGTACTCCACCTACTCCTTCCCTTTTTCTATAGTACAACCACTGCTAATGAGCTAGAGCTCAATGAAATACATAAGTAATGTATAAGAAATAATAATATGTTTGTAATCAATTGGGAATAACATGGAAATTCTATAATAAGCATAACTGTACAAAATATCATTTCATGTTCTGTTTATTGATCAATATTTTAGGCAAGTTATATGATGATTATAGGCTTTTGCACACTCACAACTCTTTAAATTAAGGTTGAATCAGTATTTCCAACTTTTAGATTTGAGGTTGATCTCGTTTGGGTACTCACATTGCTAGGAATTAGTTCTCCTAGATCCTGCATTCTTTTCCTTTTGTACACCACCTCTACAAAATCTCTCATTCAACCCACTACTTGCTTTAGCTCTCTTCCTTCTTTCCTTAACTTAATTCAATAACAATTACTGAATTTGTCTTCTTACTGTCGGCTGTTTTCAGCGACTGCGACAGCATTTTAGCAAAATTCAGCAACCACCATTACCTAATATCAACAAACAACAATGCCCTTAGCTGTTCTTAGCACTTCTTGCTTGGATTATCTCCGTGATGGTTGTTTGGACTTTTACCAAGCAATACGATTGCTGTGATTTGAGTTTACACAGAAAATTTTATCGCATAGATCCTCTTTGGTTTATTTTTTGACTAACGTCCATTTGTATTATGTTCAAATATCTCATACCTAACTGTCTTCTAAATCCAACCGATCAAATTAGGAGTTCACTTGAGGTGCCACATTTGGTTTAATAATTGTTCTTGCAAGATCAAATGAGTCATTACTGAACCTTGGCTAGTCGACTAAGGTGAGTTGTTGGAGAATGACTCATCTGCCACAAGTCGCTATGGGCTTGATCCTACCTTGGTTGTTTGGGTTTCAAGTAGTTATCCCTTTGTGTTGGATTAATCATGATCATGTATCAATGCCGAATTGTGGTACTATAATGGAATTACTTTGCGATAGCAGTGTGATTCCTAGTGAGCATGGGAATTTTCTCTGGATCTTATTCATGGGCTGCCATTTAGATGAATTTGATTTTTTTTTTCTTTTGGAGTTATTTATTTAAGCTCATTGGCTTCTGTAGTCTTAGAACATAAGATCATGTCATTTACATCTCTAGTGATGTAGACAAAGGGGGGGTCAACACAAATCCAAAATAAATCAAATTTTGGCTTCCCTTGAGTCTACTAGCTCAATCCATTTGAGCTGAAATTTTAGCTCATTTATGAGCTGATCTTTAGTTCATTTATTGAACTAAGGGTTAGCTCATTATTAGCTAACATTTTAGTTCATTTATTATCTTATATTAAATGTCTTTTTATGCTTTTTAAGTTATGATGTCTTTTGGAATTCCAAACTAGCTTTTGGAATTCCAAGACTTGCTTTTTATGATGGCTCCTTGGCTTCCTCCTTTGGTTGCCGTTTCCCGTGCCATGCCTCTTGAGATTCCGGCCGGCTACTCCTTTCCCGAGGCCATGGCTTCCCGGTTTCGGTCGGCCTCCTTGGCTCCCGTGGATGGCTCTTCGGTTTCTTGGCTTTGGGTTGATTTCCATAAAAAGCAAGAGTATTTAATGCTTTTGATGCTTAGTTTCTTGTGTTAAAATTAATGTAATGTGTCTCTTTGTATTCCCTTTCATACCTATATATATGGGGGGTATTGTAATGTTTTAAATAGTTATGTGATATTTGATTTTTGGAAAAAAATCTGTTAACCGGCGGATTGCTTGGAAATCCTGCGGGCTCTTTCCACCCTTCTTTCTCATCCCCTCCGGAAATCCTGCAGGCTCTTTCCACCTTTCTTCTCGGGCTTCTAATCTCTTCGTCTCTCCGCAAGTGCCGCTCCACCTGTATCCTTCTTCTCTAAGTGCAGTAACTTTAGGGTGTCTCGTTTGAGTCGTCGTCATTTTGTTTGCAAGAGTCATTTGTATTGTTGTAAGTTTTCTTTTGTTTAGTTTAAATTGAAATGTAAGAGTTTGTTCGTCTCTTTTCTCGTCTTTAGTCAATTTCGTCCGTAGAAGTCCGTCGTGTCTTTTGTGATCAAGAGATATAGGATCACCTATATTTTTTGGTCGCATCATCTAGCATGAGAATTACTTATAGATTGAGTTTCATCACTTATTATAATTGATACAAATGTCCATCAAATATATTTTTGAAATGACAATCATATTTCAAACGAAAGTTGATATAAAGTTTCATTATAGTCTTGCATTTTGTTAATTAAAACAATTGAAATTAGAGTTGTAAATGAATAGAGTCAAGCTAACTACTAAAATATTCAAGCTTATCATTTGTTTTCTCTAACAAGTTCAAAGCTGAGCTTAAACCTAATTAAAGAACGTAAAATAAAATACATGTATATTAATATTAAAAAAAATGTATATTAATATTTTATAAAATCATTGAACTTTGATCTGAGTAGTTTGAAGAACACATTGTTGATCTTCACGGCCACAATTTTAAAGTCCTTCATGCCTTTGGTCCTCTATCTGGTCAAATCTTGTAGACTTTCACTTCATTAATTTTTTAGCAAACTGGTGTTTGTCTCCCTCAATTGACCTTCGGCTCAGTTTTAGTGAGATGATTGCTAGCCATCAACGGCTATGCTACCAAAACCTAGCAGTAACTTTGTTATCATTAGATAGCGGTAGGTAAGGTTGTCATACTCGAACATTGATGACATATTCACGGCCTCTAATTGGAGGCACGTTAGTTGATGTCATCGTTGAAACAACCAGCAAGAAGGGAAGCACGTTGAAGGAATGCTTATGCATTTGGTTTTTATTTGAGTTTAAAAAAGAACAAATAGTAAACAAAAAGGAACTTAAAATAAAATACATACAGATTAAGAAAATTCCATCATATTCAATTTCAGGATATATGAATATGGAGGCTTCCAGTTTGTACTATGGTTAACTTTAAGTCAAGTATGTTGTCATATGCAATATATAAACATCTAGATGATATCAAAGATAATTAAGAACTCAAACCCTACAATGGACCTTATTAACTTATACAAATAATGCATAAACACAAATCATGTGTTGGCACATTGATAATCATGATGTTGAATTCAAAAGCATGGCAATGCACTCTAGGATGGTAATGCAGACAATGCACTCTAGGATGGTAATGCACTCTAGGCTCTCAAATGATCTTAAATATACACCAGATACTTCAATAAACATCTAAGTAATCCAAATGATAATAAAACCCCTTAGTCTTATCTTCAGAATCGTGATGACAATCCTATTGATTATATAACTAAGAACATGGGTCTAATTTTTTTATTCTTAATTGATTTAAGGATCATGATGAGTTGCCAGTATTGGGTTGTCTTGCTTACAAGGCAAAATCATCAGGCCTACTATTAGGCTTACTCCAACATCCTAGTCATAAGGTTCAAATGTGGGCATGTTGAAAGCCAAGACTGTAACCCCGACCTTCTAAGCAACTCACAAATAGATGAATGACTCTCAGACTTCAAATCATGTTTAATCATCAAACACAAGTAAAAAAAAACTTAAATGATGTACAATGTTCCTATCATTGTAGCGTAACATAAAGTCAACAAACTCATTAAATTAAAACTTAAGCCTTTCTAATGATTTAAGACTCAACCCTAAGCCAAGTTTGCAATAAAGATGCTATAATATATCTTAATTAATGAGATCAATATAATTCTAACAAGGCTCCTCATTACAAATTTAATTAATCGTCTCACCTTAGCTATAGGGGAAAGATCATAAGATCCATTATTAGGCTTTTCTTATCCTCGAGATTATTAAGTCCCACATATGAGCCTTTCAATGGATGTAAAGCCCAATTGCAATTTAAACTTAAAGTCATCTCCCATGCCAACAAGCTCATTAATTATAATCAAATCTCATGTGTTACAAATTCACTTATTTAATCAAATTAAAATTCACAGGCAACAACTAGTCATGTCATGCCTTTAAAACCATATAATTGGTCGTGTACAACACCTTTGAACCACAAATGACATTGTTGTACGTCTTAAATGCACTTCTGATGTAGGTAGGGGGGGGGGGGGGTCAAATTAAATCTTAAATTTTTTTCCCGGGGGGGGGGGGGGGGGGGTCAAATCAAATCCTAAATTTTGGTTTTGACTTCCCTTGGGCTTGCTAGCTCATTAATATTTTGAACTGAAATTTAGCTCATTATGCGCTTGTTTTTTGTTCATTTATTGAAGTAAAAGTTTAGCTCATTTATGTAAGTTTAGTGGAAGCTCATTATGGTGGATTTTGGCCCTTTGGTTCCCGTGGATGGCTGCTGGTTTTCCCGTGCTTGGCCCTTTAGTTCCCATGGCTGGCTGGCTGTTTTCCCATGCCTTGTCCCTTGGTTTCCCGTGGTTGGCTGTTGGTTTCTCGTGCTGGGTCGTTTTCCCGTGCCTTTGCCCCTTTGGTTCTCGCGGCTGGCTGCTCGGTTCTACGACTGGCTGCTCGGTTTCGTGGCTTTTCTGCTTG